GCAAATTAAATTTCATCTGCTAAAGATCAATGAATGACCTAGTCACAGACAGCTCAGAAGCATCCATGGATTTCTCGTCGTCCTCGATTATCGCCCTAATCGATAGCGCCACATGTCTCATGTTCGGCCTCGCCTCGAAAGACTTATTAACGCATTTAATCGCAACTTGCAACACATTTACCATTCTCTCCTCACTAGCACCTTCGCGTATCAAGCTCTTATCGAAGACTTCGACGGTCCACTCTTCGCTGACGACAGCAAGAACCCAACTCGCGAGATCCAAGCCCTCGTTTAGAACCGTCCGTCCGGTGAGAAGTTCTAGAAGAATCACACCGAAAGCATAAGTATCTTCCTTGAAGAGGGAATGTTCTTGAATATTCCCAACGGTACTCATTAGCCCGTATTTGCTAATGCATGGCTCCATGTTTGAAACCAATAGTCCGTCAAAAATTGTTATATATTTCTCTAACATTTGCTTTAATGAAAAATTAGGTATACATTAATATTTTCAATCTTTAATTGCTAATGAAGTTTCTACTAATAAATTTTATTTATATTATGTCAGTAAGTATAAAAAAAATCGGAATTTTAAAATTGTCATATCAGTACTGTGTCAATGATTTCCAATTTTTGTGTCAATGATTTCCAATTTTTGTTCATTAATTTATGTCTCATTATACGAACAGGATCGGAATGGCAACATTACGAACCTCAGACAATTGCGGGTGATATTTTCGGTCTTGGTTCTATACTATTTTATTGTATCACCGGCCAACACCCTTTCGGGGAACCGCGTAGCCGTAAAATAAACATGCAGTATAAAGAACAACCAAACCTTTCTTTGGTAGATATACCAGAAGCTCGGCATCTCATTTCTAAACTTCTCCAATTTGAAGCAAAATTGAGGTAACTTCCCTGAAAGACCATAATTTTCATATCTTCTATTTTACAAAATACACTTATACATATTTAAATTTATTTGATCGTTGTACAGGCCGTGTCTTAAGAAAATAACGGAGCATCCTTACTTTTGGAGTGTCGAAAAGAAAAACTTGTTCATCAGACTTATCAGTGATAAAATCGAAATGCTGGACGAAATGAAATGGGATGAGTAATTTTCGACTCATCCCAATGCACAAGATTCGGATTATCCGCGTCCGCGGTCTGATTTTTCTAAACTGGTGGAAAGTTTTAAGAGACAAACTATCAACGGAAAAGCTCGATGGAAAATGGATCCTATAATCCAGAATTACATCTCTTCAACGAAAAAGGGCTGGTTGTTCTACGATACTAATAAGTTATTTTGTCTACTAAGGATGATACGAAATCAGATGGCTCATTTCATCGAGCTCCCCCAGATATTAGAGAGATACTTGGAGAGGATCCCGACAAAATCGGTTCCAAGTACTTAGAACTTATAAAGAGTTGGAGGTAATTTAGTTAGGGTTCTATGCACAAAAACCCTTACCTTATTTGCTAAGTAAATATGTTAAATCAGTACTTGAAGCCCAACGGCTAAATCTAAATTTTAATAAGGCAAATAATTCATACAACTTAAAATAGTAAATAAGGAAAATAATGACCTGAATTAAATATGGTAAATAATGACGTAAAAGTAAAAAGGCAAGACAAACTAAGTAATAAAACTTAGAGAATTACCTTATTTGATATCATGCTTCTAGCTCCCAGATAGTATAGAGTAAGCACAAGTTCTAATTATTAAAAAAAAAACATAGAAGAAAGTGCTCACATAATGTAAGTTCTAGCGATATCTTGTTGACTTGTGTGTGTGTGGGGGGGGGGGGGGTTGATGATGAACTATTATGTGTGTTTGTGTGACGTGTGTGTAATATTCAATTCTATGCATGGGAAAACCTTCGATATGAAAATTCAGTTTAGTTAACTTTTTTTTTCTTTTTTTTGCTACTAGAAAGGTGTGACGTGCGTTGCACGTCTCTATTAATTTATGTATATATTCAAATATATTGAAATAGTAGAATGTGGTTTTATTTAATATTGATATACATAAACTATCATATTTAGAGTTAATTGCATACACCCCCATGTGAAAAGTCTAATTGCCGAAAAAGTCCCTGTATTAAAAAAATTATCATATATCCTCATGTGATGGACTTTATTTAGCCTACCGCCCCCTTATCCATATCAAACCCGTTGACTGTAGTGAAACGACTAAAATGCCCCTAAAAAAGATAAAGCAAATAAGCACCCACCCAAAAAAATATACCAAAAACTAATTTCTTATGTTTAAAATTTTAAATATTTATTTATTTTATATCCTTTAATAAATTTAAATTTTTAGTCCTTTTAGTTGGAATTTTATGAAATAAATATGTATTAAATATAAATAAATCAAGATTTCAAATTAATTATTTCACGTTATAAAACTTTATTTTGTATTTTTTTAAACAGTTCTATAAGTAATTTAATTGTACCGAATTTTATAATATAGTTACTTTTAGTTTTATAAATATTATATATTTCTTTATTTTGTAATTATAAAAGAAATATATATAAAAAAAATCAAATATATTTAAATAAACAAAATACAAAAATACATATTAAATATAAAACCAAAAAATGAAAAAGTAAAAAAGAAAAATAATAATAATAAAAAGTCATCTTCCCGTTCCCCATCCCAACCTGCTCCTCCTCCTCCTCCGCCATTCACCATCTCCGCCGCCTCTCTCCTCTATGCTTGAAGGATTGGTTCAAATCAATGACAAATTCCTATGCAATTGAAGCCTTCTGCTTCGATTCCGCCATTAATTGACTAAATTTATCTGTAACTTCCCGATTCTTCTACATTTCGGCGAGAAAAAAAAATCCCCAAATTAAAGAAGTAAGGTTTGAAGAGCATCTTGTCCCCTGTTTAGGGTTTCAACAACTCATGTCTAGAGATAATCATGGCCTCGCTTCCCCGAAGATTTTTTAGATGACATCAACTGGCTGTGTCGGTGTCGGTGTCGGTGTGAATGTCGGTGTTGTTGACTTGGGGATTGCTATAGAAGGGAGGGGAGTAGCGGTGAACAACGGAGAAGTCCGGATAGCGGTTTCCAGTCATGAACGGAGCCGACGAGAAAACGATAGGGGATAGAAGAATGTTACTGCGTGTTTTTGAGTTTCAATGGGAGAGAGGGCTTTATTGAAACTATGAGGGACTGAATTAATTTTTTTGAAAACTTCATTTGGGACTTACAAAATTTCTGGGTGAATATATAATTTTGAAATTTCTGATTTAGAGGGTATTTATGTCTTTTCACGCTAAAAATACACCCACAGTTGCATAACTAGCGAATGTAATACACGATCATGGATTAGGGGGTTTCATGTCGTTGACTAAATTTCGTAGGGGGGTGAATGCTAATACTTTTAACACAAGGACTTTTTCGGCAATTAGACTTTTCACAGGGGTACCGTTTGCTAAAACCTCATCATATTTATGTTACAATATCTATTTCTTCTTAGGTTATTTCAATAATTATTTATCATCGTCTTGAATATCATATTTGTAGTGATTTTTTTGTTCTTTTTAATTAGAACCTTTTCGATAAGTAAGTTCATAATCTATACTATACTATATATAAAAGTGTGAATGCTAGGTGGTTTCTTCCATTTTATGTATGGACAAAAATGCCCCGTAAAATAATTAAAACTTCAAGGTGAATTAAGTAAAATATGTAATAATTAAATTGTTCATTAATGCATGTTAAATACAATAATTGATAATATCTGATTCATTGAAAATTGTAACCACAACAGCTTAAATATGTCGGTAATCGTTGGTTGAACCAACACTCGATTGTGAAATTGTATTTTAGAATCATAATCAAACTCTTAACTCGGGTTGGTAAATGGTCTTGTATTTTTTAATTGTAAACCCCGGCCGATTCTGACTCGTGAACCGTTGGTTCACGACAATAATCAAGTCTCCATTTCATTTCGAGTTGTCTCATTTACTCTTGAATGTTTATATATATATATATATATATATATATTACAAAAGACAAATGAATATTAATGAAAAATTAAACATAAATGAAAAATTTAATGGAGACTTGATTATTGTTGTGATCCAACACGAGTCAGAATCGACAGGGGTTTACAATTAAAAAATACATGACCATTAACCAACCCAAGTTAACAGTTTGATTATGATTCTAAAATACAATTTCACAATCGAGTGTTGGTTCAACCAACGATTACCGACATATTTAAGCTGTTGTGGTTACAATTTTCAATGAATCAGATATTATTAATTATTGTATTTAACATGCATTAATTAATGAACAATTTAATTATTACATATTTTACTTAATTGACCTTGAAGTTTTAATTATTTTACGGGGCATTTTTGTCCATACATAAAATGGAAGAAACCACCTAGCATTCACACTTTTATATATAGTATAGAATAGAAAGAATGTCGAGGAAAGATATCAAACCGGTCGATGGTGAACGGATAGGTGAAATCAGTTTGTACAAGAATGAAATCGGGAAGGGAGTGATGAATGATACAACTGTATTTGAAGGATCCTATGATGGCCGTCTTGTGGCCATCAAACGGTTTTCGTAAAACAGAAGAAATTATTGATTTGTTAAAGAAAGAGAAAGCTGTTCGATTTAAATTAGAGTTTAACGCGAACATCGTCCGATTTATTAGATGGGAAGCAGACACCGAGTACATCTACTATTGTCTCGAGCGATGTACACGTAATCTAAGTGGCCTCTTCAATCTGGGTTCAACGTATGACGTGATATCTATAATGAGGTATATATCATTTACTGTTTTACTGTTTTATATATCAATTACTGTTTTATATCAAACATGGGAGTTTTTGAATTTTGTTTACTTTTAAGTGAAAAACTTATTTCTATCTTTTTCAAAACAATTCCGGAAAAATAAAATAAGAATTTCAGAATTTGAAATGAGAAAAATATTTTAAAATTGGAACTTTTCGCATTGGAACGGACAAAAATTGAAATTATTCCATAATAAAAAAATACTTGGAAAGAAATTGGAACTTTTAAAATTATTTTCAAAAATTAAAATCGGATCGAAAATTGGAATATCACAAGTACTTCAATTTTGATAAAATCGAAAATAGTAATTTTTAGAATGAAAAATTATTGTTCAAACAAAATTATTGAAATTGGTGGAATTCAAAAATTGAGTTCCAATTCCAACCCCTAGATTTTGTTACTAGTGAAGAAGAATTGGAGCCTGGAGGGTGATTAGTTCAAAGTTTTGAGAGTAGTTGGGAATTTAAGCTGGAGGGCGAAATCGTCAATCACATTAAGTTTGCTCTGGCAAGAGAGGATTTATTATGGCATTATCAACTCCGTTAAGTCAAGACTTAAATGGGACTGATGATACGTTGTTCAACGAATAAATTTGATTTAAGCTTTAATTAGCGATTTTAACCTATTATATGATATTATTGCAATAATTAACCAAAAATATTATATATTAGTGATATGCTTATGTAACATTTCTTGCATGTTTGTGTATATATTATATAAGCTATTGCTTGTCTTTTAGGTCATTGTGATGTGAGTTGGAAGGATTGAAACGTAAAAGCAATTAGTCTTCTTAATCTTTAATTAAAAACTAAAAAGAAATTAATTAGGTGTACATATTGTGTCATAAGATGGACAACACAAAAAATACAAAGGAATTAGGTAATAAAAAACAAATGATCCGACATAGCCAAAACTTTACAAACTTGTTTGTTGATCTTTCCATTCCCACTCATTTGATTTTACATGATTTTCTCTTGTCTTAATTGGAAGTTTAACTTAGTCAATCATCCATTAATATGTTCACTAGGATGCAAGTAATTCAATTTTGAAAAAGTCAACATGTCATAAACGAGTCTATTTAAATAAATTGACTCTTAAAACGCAATTAAATTCTAACTCGTGCCCTCCATTATTATAAGATATCGTTGTATATGTTCGCAGTACCCATCACTTCTGAAATATATTTTTGTTTCGTATTATCTATCACTTCACATTTATAATATTGCGTTAAATGCATATTTTTATCTTTTAAACTTATTAATTCAACTATAAGTATTAACTATTGAACCCTCTTTTTATAAATAAAATTATTTTAGTCATTTTTATATGATTTTACTAAAATTAATGCGCGTTTATTGAGTTTCTTAATACTTATGTAAAATTGAAATTAGACAATTATTTAAAAACGGGGAATGGTTCAATAGGGCCTAAAAAGGGACAATTTTCGAATTTATAGAGTTGATTATTACTTATTAGAGTCATGTCATCATATGAAACAATTCAGCCGGCTAATTCATTTATATAAAAATAATCATTTATAAATCAAATCAAGAATTTGTTGTATACTAATAGATGCAACTTCTTATTTCTTTGTCCTCGTCTAATTTTATATCAAGGAAAAAAAATTGTCACAAACCTCCAACAACCCCTTTATGTACAATAAACCATATAACATTGCAATTTTTATTATCTGCATTTAGCATCATAATTAATTAAAAATAATAATAATAATTAAAAAAAAAGTACATCATCCATAACCACTAAATTGCAACAGTTCTACTATAAGATAAATTGTAACACTTCCACTATTAAATTTAAGGCCACACTCTGCAAATTAAATTTCATCTGCTAAAGATCAATGAATGACCTAGTCACAGACAGCTCAGAAGCATCCATGGATTTCTCGTCGTCCTCGATTATCGCCCTAATCGATAGCGCCACCTGTCTCATGTTCGGCCTCGACTCAAAAGACTTATTAACGCATTTAATCGCAACTTGCAACACATTTACCATTCTCTCCTCGCTAGCACCTTCGCGTATCAAGCTCTTATCGAAGACTTCGACGGTCCACTCTTCACTGACGACAGCAAGAACCCAACTCGCGAGATCCAAGCCCTCGTTTAGAACCGTTCGTCCGGTGAGAAGTTCTAGAAGAATCACACCGAAAGCGTAAGTATCTTCCTTGAAGAGGGAATGTTCTTGAATATTCTCGACGGTGCTCATTAGCCCGTATTCGCTAATGCGCGGCTCCATGTTCTCGTTTAGTAGGATGTTCGAGGATTTAAGGTTGCCGTGTGCGATTCTTTCGTATTGGAGCTCTTCGTGCATGAAGGCTAATGCGTCGGCTATTCTAGCTGCTGCCGAGAGTCGTCTGCTCCAGTCGAACGATTGTCTGCTTTGATTACCTTAAAAAAGATTTCGAACAAGTTTACGATTGAAATGTTAAATATCGTTTAATTTTTACTTTCCGACTTGAAATGTAATTTTAACCTTATTCATGCATACAGTAGAACCTCGATAAATTAATAACCTCGCTTAACTAATAGTTTCTTCTGGTCCCAACTCGGTAAAAACCAACTAAATCATTAGTTCGATAATTTAATATTTCGCTAAATTAATTTAATTTTGCTAGTCCCAACTGTATTAATTTATAGAGGTTTAACTGTATATGTTCTACACGACATCTAATCTAATTGATTCAACTTCGGTTAGAAAGTCAACTCAAAGGACTACAAATTTGGTTTCAAAGTTCCAAAATTCGAACCGAAAAAAGGGTAAAAAATAATATTTGAAATCCGAACGATGCTAGCAAAAATATATTAATAAAATTACCGTGGGCGTGGATTTGTCGGAAAAGGCTTCCGTTCTTCTGATACTCATAAACAAGAAGCTTCTCTTGTTTCGAGCTATAGAAAGCGACAGCTGGCAAAACATTCGGATGCTTCACACGATTAAGCCTCGTCATCCTCTGCTTAAAATCATCGTTTGATATTGTCCAATCCTTAATCCTCTTCACAGCAAGATTCATTCCCTGAGCCTCACACACAACCTTGTACACACTCCCATGTTTGCCTCGTCCGATGAGCTCAGCAGGTGCCTTTAGCAAATCCTCGAATCTCAGCCCGTTTACTTCCGGGCTCGTCAGAACCACTAAAGACGAAGAAACCATTCCGCTCTGATAATCAGCTGAAGTAGCCGTTTCTGCCTTCAATTCCACTGTCGAGAAACTAGGTTTGCTTGCAGCACTATTATCATGGAATGCTGCTGCTACTTTGTTTATGTCGGCACCACTTTCGAGATTTTCTTGTTTTTTCTTTCCCTTCTTGTATAGATATACGAGGATGATGAATAAAACGGCCAAGGCAATTAAGATATAGCCCGCGTACATGAGAATCTGATCGTTTGAACCGTTTTCTGAGGCCATACGAAAATATTAACTTTTGCAGGCTAATAAAAAGAGTATCATATGAATGAGTTATTGCACAAGGAGAAAATACGAAAGTTCAAGGAAGCAATAACCTTTGGTTTATAGTACTTTATAGTGTGCTGATTCGACGGAGTTTTTGATGATCCCCATGTATCTTTGTGCCGGCCTTCGGGATGCAATAATCCCATATGTTGAAGTCGTTTTCGTTTGAATGATTCTTGATTTTTTTTTTATTTAATTATCTGGCAAAAATATTATCATATTAGTTGTCACACTGTATATTTAACAGCAAGTATCTATCTTTATGTATGTAAAAGAATACTGTCTGAATCAAAAAAACATTAACAATGGACAAATCCATGACAGGGAAATGAAATTGAACCATTTATCTAAATAGTTGTTACAAATGTATATAAAATCCCATTAATTCAAAGAGAATTTGATAAAGCCATCATCAGCCAGTAAAAATATTACATTTTTTTTTTACCGGCTGTTTTGAGTTCGGTAATAACTTGAACGGAAATCGAATTTAGTACAGGGGATTTCACAGTATCTAGTCCCTAAAGCTGCCATTAATAATACTAATTTACACAACACTGTAAAATCATAAATAATACAAAATATAACAGATGAGAAAGAAAAAAAAAAGAAAACAATTTGCCATTCTACGGATCGGCCCGACCCGCCACGTCATCTTCACTCTCACTCCTTCCGTCACTATAAGCATCGTTATCGCTTACATCACCGTCACTTTCGTCTGTTAATGTATTATTAATGTGCTCCTTCTTCGCATACCGCTCACAATACTCTGTCACATTAGTTAAAAAAGCTTGTCAGAAAAGCCGATTTTTTTTAATTATATAAATTAGTTTTAACTTTTAATATTAGATATTCGAAAGAGGAAGAAAAGGAAAAAAAGATCTCGCCTTTGACTTTTAGATCGTATTGGGTTTTATCTTTCATCATAAGAGATGCTGCATCCCCGTTTAGTGGGTCCAATGGGTTCGGGTAGAGTAGAAGCTGTGGTAGGAAAACCTCAAAGATGTTCAACAAATCTGCATATAGATAGATAGATACATACATACACTTTTGTCAAGGCATGCAAATTTCATATCGAAATTTTATGAGAGTTCGTTACATTTTTTTTTTTGCAACGAAAAAGATGAACTTACCAAACATCGGACTCCATGACTGGTTAATGACATCCAAGCATACAGAACCAGAACTAACATCCAAAAATGTTGAAATTGATAAGAAACGGAGAAATTAAATAACCGACATTTCGTAGGTATATATATATATATATATATATATATATATATATATATATATATATATATATATATATGAAAGATATATTAGAACTTACAGTTCATCGACATTTGGGTGGAAAATTTTGTTGACAAAGCCAATGGAAGGAGATTTGTAAGGATAAGCATCCGGAAGTTCGACACGAACTTTCCAAAATCCACCTTCGTAAGGACCTGTAATAAGTGTCCATGTTAGACGAACAATCTTATCAAGAATACCAATCGTGTAAAAAGGAAAATGACATTCGTAAACTATTTAGAAAACTAGAAAAAATTGCAAACATTTTAATGGTAATATAAATGCCGTTTCAGAAAAATATTCAGAAAAAAATAAATATCAACTTGATATATTTGGAGCTCGTGAAAGAAGAACAAGCTTGTTATAATATTTCTCTCCAAAAGAAAAAAAAATGCGGTAATATTACTTTCTTTTGGGCCATGAAACTCCACATTGAACTCGTTGATGCCGTCGTTTATGGGCTCCACAATGTAGTCACTCATCATTCTATTAAAAAAAAGAAAAGACCGAGTGTAAGTAGAACAATCAAGAGACTTATAACAATAGCCATGATCTTCTAAAAAATAAGTCTCTCGTAAAATGCACTATGTATAGACGATAATTTATCGATGATATATTTGTGTATGCTATCTGTGTAACCGAAGAGACACTTACAGTTTCATGACATCCATATCTCGTCTCTTGCTCGGAGAAGACATTTTGTCTGACTATCTGTGTCTGTCCTAAAACGAAGCAAAACGAAGAACCTAGTTAAAATATGGTTGTTTCACTACAATTTGAAGAACGAACTCGAAAGATTGACCGAATTGTGACAAGATAATGAGATGAATTTCGAATTGAAAAAGTCTTATCTTTTCAATTAGGCATTTCGATTTCACTACTACCGATAAGTTGATGCTAAAATAAGTTGTCCTAATTCATGAAACATTATGTCAACTTCGGAAAGTCGAAAAAAACCCAATCTTCGAAATGCATTGTGATGTTCCTAATCGAGAATAAAATCTATACAGAGACCAAGTCCATAACCGAACACTTTCGATTTCTTCTCGCTCTTTTGCCCACTTGACTAATTAGCAACAGGGTAAAATCCAAATTAAAATTAGTGAGATATTCAATAAACAACAAATTTGCACAACAAATTGTGCAATCACAATCCCCAATAAACAACAACATCTGACTGCAAAATAAAAATAAATAAATAAATGATAAAAAAAAAACTCGATCCACCAATCAATCAACCCAAATCAGCATTAGATAACAAACATCATCAACGGTAATTTAATCACATTTCATGGTACAAAAAAATAAAACAAATTACGAAGCTCACAACCCTAATAAACGATTTTACAATCCAAAGATGATTAGAAAAGAAAAACCAAATCATTTCATTAGAAGTTAACTAACCGATCAATGAGAAAGAAAAAAGAACAGGATCGAAGAATGAATAAAAATGAAGTTGTAAAGTGTCTGCGTTGAAAATGAAGAGATAACAGAAGAGAGGAGAACAATGAAAGATAATGGAAAAATGAATCCAAATGTGTCGACATTTTCTTTTTTCTTTTTTCTTTTTTTTTTTCTTGCTGTTTCAAATATGTTTGTTTCAGGCGCACGTGCCGAGTCAGTGCGTGTGTGTGTGAGAGAGAGAGAGAGAGAGAGAGAGAGAGAGATAGGGTGACGTGGCTTTTGCCTTAACCCAATCTTTGTGTGGTAAAAGGTTGGCGGCCGGCTTTGCCTCTTCTCCTCACGCTGTAAAAATGAAGAATCAGTCATGATTAATTAATCCAACATAATCCTTCCTGGAGATTGATTTTTAATTAAAAAAATACAAATAAAAAATATTATCAGGAGTTGGAAATATTTGGCAAATGGTGATTGGTGCGTGCGTTCACGCGCTTTGGAAAGTTGAGGGGCTTAAGGTAAGGCCTTATTACTGTGTGGCCCAACTACCAAAAGTTTTTTAACTTCAGCCCCTTTCAATTAAAGCCCATATCTTGTTCATTAGAACGGCGTCGTTTCACCATTGCAAACAGACCGACATCTTTGGATGTCAGAGCTCATATAAATACCTTCAAGCATTATATTTGGCGGCAATGAAGTCAAGCAACAACCACCGGTAAACCGATTCTCAATCGTAGCAGAGCGGAGAAAACCAACAGCACAACGGATGGGAGTCCACGGCCTCTGGGAACTCCTCGCTCCAGTCGGCCGCCGTGTTTCCGTCGAGACCCTCGCCGGAAAGAGAGTCGCCATCGGTATTCTCAAAACCCTAACCCTAACCGCGTGATCGGACTACTCGTTCATTCGTTAACTCTTCTGTCCGTTTTTTTTTTGTTTGGTTTTCTTCTCTCCAGACGCGAGTATATGGATCATACAGTTTATGAAGGCAATGAGAGACGAAAAGGGGGAGATGGTTCGGAATGCGCACATATTGGGATTTTTCCGTCGAATTTGCAAGCTTCTCTACCTCAGGACTAAGCCGGTTTTCGTATTTGACGGAGGCACGCCCGCTCTTAAACGTCGGACAGTAATTGCACGCCGCCGGCAGCGTGAGAATGCCCAGGCTAAGATCAGAAAGACTGCAGAGAAACTGCTACTCAATCACGTGAGTTCGTTTATTGAAAATTTGAACTGTGGTTAAGGAAATTTTGATGCTAGATTATGTTTTTTTGACTTTATGTAGGAAATGCATGATGGTAGATGATTAATTTTGTCTTCTGATATGCTTTATTAGTTGTGATGTGGCAAGTGATTGCACGTCATATGATATGCCTTGAGTGTAAATTTTTTAATTATTGTCGACAGCTTAAAACAATGAGATTGAAAGAATTGGCAGCAGATCTTGAGAAGCAGAGGCAGGAGAATGATATCAAAGGTAAACGGCCATTGATAGAGGAACCGAGTACTCAGCAGGTGACTGGGAAAGGAAATGATGATGTGGCTGTCAATTACAGTCAGGAAGAATTGGATGAATTGTGAGTCCTATGCTCGTTTCCTATGTTGCTTATCGTTCTAGATTTAAATGTATTCTGACCTGAGTCGACCAGTTGATTTAGGTTGGCAGCATCTCTCGCTGCAGAGGAGAATGAGGTTTTTAACGTTGATGCATCAGCATCAGGTTCTGGGATTCCAGATAATGAAGTTTTCGGAGATGGTGAAGATGAAGATGATGATGAAGATGAAGAAATGATACTTGTAAGGTTACGTGTCATGATTCAACTAGAGGCGTCATAACCTATCTCAACTAGTATGGGTTTCATATTCCTCTGTCTCTGAATATTCATTTTAATGTTACTTAATTCATTTTCTTACAGCCAGAGATGAATGGAAAAGTTGACCCTGCTATCTTGGCTGCTTTACCTCCATCCATGCAACTTGACCTCCTAGTTCAGGTACGCTTGTTTTTTATGCTTTTGTCGTTTTTCTTTATGAACCGTAGACAGTGAACGTTAAGTAGGTTCTAATGCTCTATGATAATTGCTGATTTCCTATCTATTTGCAGATGAGAGAGAGACTGATGGCTGAGAATAGACAGAAGTATCAGAAGGTGAAAAAGGTATAAACAGCTTTATACGCCCTGGTGGGGGGAACTTGTGACAACATTTGACTTTGACCAATTATTTTCAGATGAGTCCTCTGGATGTCCATGCGTTTATAATGTTGATATTTGTTAATATATCTGGAGTGGTTCTTCTCATTCTTTTGCTTGACACAGAGCTTAGGTTTTAAGTACTCTCATTTTGTTTACATTACTGCAAAATCAGTATAAATCAGTCTTGCATATTGTGATACTTATCCGTGCAGAGCATTGACGAGTTTTTTGCCCATTCTTCTTTGTTTATATACTTATTTTTCTGGTTAGGCCCCAGCAAAGTTTTCCGAGCTGCAAATAGAGGCTTATCTGAAGACAGTTGCTTTCCGACGTGAGATAGATGAGGCACAGAAGGCAGCTGCAGGGAGGGGAATAGGTGGCATGCAGACTTCACGAATTGCATCTGAAGCCAATAGAGAATTCATTTTCTCCTCATCATTTACTGGGGACAAACAGTGAGTACAGTTTATAAAGTTTTCTAATGTTCCCAGTTTATTTCTTCAATAGGTAGAATTGTTTTGCTTTGCTGCAACCTAATTGATAGTCTTTGTGTAGAACCATCTTGCATGAGTTAATGATTGATTTTTTATCAGATCCCTTACGTCTGCTGGAGTAGAGAGTGCGGGAGCTGATCAAACTCAGCCCCCACTACCGAGTTATTCAACCAATAAAGTCAAGAAAGTTTCGCCAGTCAAAAGTGGCGCAACTGGACCAGCTGTGGCTGAAACCAGAAAAGATTTTCACGATGATGTTGAGACATACCTGGACGAGAGAGGTCGTCTTCGAGTCAGCAGGGTCAGAGCACTTGGGATTCGCATGACTAGAGATTTGCAAAGGAATTTAGATTTGATGAAGGAGATTGATCAGGAGAAAGCAGTCACGAATATGGGAAACATTAATGAATCTACCACTGCTAAAAACCCGATTGACGTCCTAGATAACAGCTCATCTGAGAGATTCCAGAATCAAGAAATTGCCGATGAGAATGATGATGAAGTTGACAATATCGAAGATCCTGCCGTAGTAAATGGAAATACTATCGAGATTTCCTTTGAAGATTTATTGGAGAATAATTGTGGTAATGATGATGATGATAAGTTATTTGCTTGTCTGGTGGCTGGAGGCTCGGTCATGGACTTCTCTGTTGATAATTCTGCCTCACTGAAACAATCTTCTGATGCTGATGATTGCGAGTGGGAGGAAGGAATCATTGAAGAAAAAAGTACAGCATGCCCATATGAAGGAGGTATGAGTGACGAGGGAGAAGATGAATGGAAGGATGGATTTCAAAATATTCAAATGAAGTCCTCTTCTTGTCCAGATGAAAGTCAAAGAACTGTTACAAAGGGTGCTCTGGAAGAAGAAGCTGATTTTCAGGAAGCAATTAGAAGAAGTCTTGAGGGTACAATGGACATCAGATCTGTTATTGACTTTCATGAAGACAATATATTCAGAAGCGCTGGAGAAATGGTTTGTGAGCCAGAGGTTGAAGGTGTATCAGCCAATGTAAGCCAACCATTTCAGTCAACAAACGCCTTTGAGAGCAACTGTTCAGAAGTAAAGCCTGCTGAATTTATAGAATTGAACCATGATAAAAGCAACTTTGACCTGAAGCTTTCTAATAAAGATGCTGGTGAAAGTGGAGCTTTGGGTGGAGAAATACCTATGTCTTCGGATGTTGTACCTGATGGGAAGGGGTTGTCCGTGACTGATAAGCAGCTATTCGACAGTTGTGGTGAAGATGGTAATGGGCATGCAGTGAACGAGCTAGAGTGTAACGTTGAGGTTGCATATAATACCGTTATCTCTGCAAGTTGTTCTGCCTTTACTGATTCAGTGCATGGCAAAACTGTGGTCTCTGGTTCTACGGAGGCCCAAAACATGTCTCAGGGAGCAGTACATGACCATTCTGGCAGTACTGCAACACTCAGAAAGATTTCTGCTGATGATTCAATAACCGTTGTAGATGGTACTAAAGAATTGGCCAATGAGATTTTTTTTGGTAATTTTTCAATGGAAAAGCAGGAAGTTACGAGGAACCAATCTCTTTTTGATGATAATAAGGAGCATGATATCGTGGAGGATCGTTTGGAGGAAGAAATGCTGTTTCTAAGTGAAGAACGTCAGGAGCTGGGAAGTGAGCAACGTAAACATGAGAGAAATGCAGAGTCAGTAACCAACGAAATGTTTGCTGAATGCCAGGTACTTTTTGTCGGGCTAGTCATAATTTTTTAAATTAAAAATAACTTTTCCTAGGTTCAGACTCGCAGAATTTATTTATTTATTTATGATTTTAGGAGTTGCTTCAAATGTTTGGCTTACCATATATAATTGCACCGATGGAAGCTGAAGCTCAATGTGCTTTCATGGAGCTCTCAAACCTTGTTGATGGTGTGGTCACTGATGACTCCGATGCATTCTTATTTGGAGCACGAAATGTGTATAAAAACATCTTTGATGATCGCAAATACGTGGAGACCTACTTAATGAAGGTGATTTTTAGATAGTGTTACTAGCTATTTAAGGAGCAATAATGACATACATGATATGAATTGAGTTTATGATCAACTTATCATTACCTTGCTTCATAATTTGGACCGCTCTCACCTGTGATATTTTTATCTGTTTTAGCTTTATTTGATACTGGTTTTGACATTATATATGGTTCTCTAGGATATCGAGAATGAACTTGGCTTAGATCGAGAAAAATTAATCCGTATGGCACTACTTCTTGGGAGTGACTACACCGAAGGCATTAGGTAATGATCATCATCCATGCTTTTTGTTGGTTATTAACTCTATATTCATACTATCAATAATTTGTGTCAATTATCGGAGGCTCTTGTAGTCTATCTTGCCTTCACTGCGGTGAAATGTACATGGTGATTTTAATCACATTGTAAATGTTACAGTGGCATTGGCATTGTTAACGCAATTGAGGTTGTAAATGCTTTTCCTGGGAAAGACGGCCTTCGTGAATTTCGAGAGTGGATTGAATCACCAGATCCGACGATTCTTGGAAATTTCAATGTAGAAGGATCTAATAATTCGAGAAGGAAAGGATCTAAAGGTCGTGAGAATATCTCGAGTGGCTCAACTAACAACTTAGATGGGATTTATAGTGAGCAAAATTTACAACAGCCAGTGGGTGATGCCGAAAGGGTAAAACAGACTTTCATGAGTAAGCATGTAAGTGCCACCTTTCTCCTTGCAAGTTGCATCTTTCCCTGCAGCTGTGCTAGTGGTTCTTGTTTTTCTATGATACTATTGACTTTACTTTTATATGTACAGAGAAACGTGAGTAAAAATTGGCATATTAGTTCTTCTTTTCCAAGTGATGCTGTGATCACAGCATACGCTTCTCCGCAAGTGGACAAGTCTACAGAATCACTTGCATGGGGAAAGCCAGATCTATTTGTTCTTCGCAAGTGAGTTTAATCCTCTCGACTTGCTTGCATGGTGAAAGCCAGATTTATTTCTCTCAAACACCTGTGAGAAACAGACAAATAAATTAAGTTTTGAGTTTCTTGATTTTCTCGTTTAGATTGTGTTGGGAGAAACTGGGGTGGGGCACGTCAAAAGCAGATGAGTTGCTGCTGCCAGTTTTGAAGGAGTACAACAAGCACGAGGTTGGTGAATCTTTCTTTCTCGTACCGTCTCTCTTCTAAAAAAACATGGAAACTGATTTAATTTCCCTTTTTTTTGGTTTATGTTGGTTTTCGGATGATCCAGACACAATTGAGATTGGAAGCGTTCTACACATTCAATGAAAGATTTGCAAAAATCCGGAGTAAGAGAATAAAAAAGGCTGTCAAAGGAATAGCAGGGCATAAATCTTCTGAGTTGATGGATGAGACACCGCTGCCTCAAAATTCAGGGAGTGGGAAAAAACGAAAAGTGAAGCCCTTTGAAGAAGAAGAAGCCAGCCAATCAGGAGCTGGTACTCAAAATAATACGAATGATAAACCAGCTGTTAAGCAATTAAAAAGAGGACGAGCAAAAGAGAAGACTTCAGACAGTAATCTAGAACAATCTACCAGTGTAAGAAAAGAATCAAATGTAAGAGGAAGAGGACGAGGTAGAGGCAGAGGCAGAGGTAGAGGTAGAGGGAAGGACACAAAGAATTCTTGTTCTGCCGATACTGTAAACGGATCTAGTGAAAGTGACGAAGAATTGCAGTTTGACAAGTCAGACGAATCACGTCTAATGCGAAGGGTAAGTTTACCTGCTGGTAAGAACGTATGCATCATAACAGAAGCAAGAATAAAAAAATGACAAAAGGGAAAAAAATTCCAGCCATGTTGGTACTTCCTTCGTTTATTATAAATTGAAAATAATAAATATTAATATGAATTTATGTAATTTTCAGTCAGGGCGGCTTCGAAAGGCAGTGGATTACACTGATCCCAATGAATTTGACAATCATGAAAAGGGAAGTGAAGATCGCCATGAGAGCATTAGCAACGAAGTAAACAGAGCGAGTGATGTTGAATTAGAAGGTAAATTTTTGGTTGAAGAGATTCAAGAAACATTCAGGACTGATAAGATGAGCATTAACCAAGTTGATGATAATCAAATGGATAATCGATCGAATTTAGGGGAGGATTATATTCAGTTCGGGGGTGGATTTTGCTTGGAAGAAGAAGATGAAGATAATAACATTGTTGTTGATGGTGCTGATTTGTTGGTGCAAGAAAATGATGGGAGTAATGGACCATCCAATGAGAAGACAGATTTCTGTGGTACTGAGATGAATATCGACGGTTGTGATTCATCCGATGATCAATGTCCGAAATCTCTTCGCGCAATGCCTAATTTGAGAAGGAAAAGGAGAAAGACTTGAATGAGTGAGTGCATGCAAGGATGTTAGCTTACAAAAATTATTCGGGTTTCTTTGTTTTGTCTACAAATTTGCCCAACTGTTTAATCGTTAGTTTTTAGTATTTAATTCTTTTTTAAATGTTATATATATTAATATTATTAAAAGAAACAAAAATATTTAGGATTTCGTGCTTTTCGTGTTCTAGAACACGAAATACTTACATTTTCGTAAAAAAATGAAATTCAAACAACTTATTTTGACCTCATAATCGTAATCCGAATCGTCCATTACATTTGTTGTTCTTGTTCGTCGAACATGTTTGCGAAACGAGTTTCAAATTAGAGAGAATTTCAATCTGTTAAGAGTATTTTGATGTTATGTACAAAATCCCACTTTAACCAGTAAAACTCCAGCAATTAGCATTTCAGCTTGATGATTGAAACTAGGAAATACAAAAATTAAAAGAATATATAATTATAAAAATTACGAATATGCCATTAGGATTTGCTAGTTACTAACATTAATTATTTTTTATTCCAATATACCATTAGGGATCTTTAGAATAAAATTTCTCATTTACTGCTCGTGAAATAGGGTTTTGGTGTTATAGCTGATATATTATGGTGAAATATTGTAAAATCTGTTGTAGATGTCTAAATAGGTGACTATAGTGTGGATATATCTTCCCATGTTTCTGATTTGCAAGCTTCATTGGCTTCTCTTCGGTATTTTAACGACTCGTCCAAATTTGAAGTGGATTGTGAATTAATTCATGGATGATCTATTTATTTGCAGATGTTTTTGAAATTCATCGACACAGAGCAGTTTCAGAGGTACACTAAAATATTCTGCCTGCTTTGTCCTTTATCTGGTTCTGGTTAATGCTACTCTTTGTGTACCTTATATTTATTGTTTTGTGCATCTCTGCCAATGTAGTTGTGATGGTTCAGTTTGTGTTGTTCCCAATACATAAAACGGGTAGTGAATTTAGTAAATTGGTTGAACAAATTAATTAGTGAAATACGAAAAGATTATCTGCAATGAACGTAAATTTGTCGAGGCGAGTTGACTATGTCCTTAAGACGAAATTTCCCCGCAACGGTGCTAACGGATTAAATGGAAATCGTCTCCCAAGATACAACGGCAAGGCTTGGAATAGGAGCACTCCAAATCCCAAGTACGACGAACTGTACTTTGTGTAGAACTTTTCGAGAGAATCTGTGAAGGGTAGGCTTAATATGCAGTAGGCTTATTTTTTGATTGAAGTGAGGAATTGTGGGAAAGTTAGGGTCTATTTATAAGGTTCGAAAAGTAGTGTCATTCGGAGCAAAAAGGTACCTTTGTTTGAATGGTTGCACCATTTCAAAGGTACCTTTTGTTTGAATGGTTGCACCATTTCGAGTTGAGCCAATTGGGAGTGGTTGCACCATTTCGAGTTGAGCCGAATGGTTTGCATTGGTTCGGCCGCACCAATTCAGACCAGTCAGATCAATCGAGATGGGATTCGAGTAATAAGGGCCCAATGGGTTAAAAGCCCATGACCTAATGTTTTTGATATATATACAGCTCAGTACTTCTCTACTTTTCCAATGTGGGATAACTCAAAATCCCACTTTCCTTATATTTGGACTAGTAATTTTCCATTCACCACAAAATTGGTTCTAATCCAAAATTCATTTATATACTTAATTAGACCGTACAATAACATTGATAAAAAATTGTTCATTACTCAATTTTTAACCAATTTTCCCAACAGTTTGTACTGCTATTCATCCTTTCTTGAGAGGCTACGTGATCTTAAGCAACTTGGTGAGTAGTGCACAATTTCTTTATTAGCTCTACGTGATTTGGTGATATCTACAGTTTATCTAATAATTACACTTTCCTCTTGTTGATGAACTATAACTGTGCTTAATTAATTGCTTATGATAATGAATGATATTAAGAAAACCATATATCATTGTCTTCTCATGCGCGTGGTTGTTAGTTTTGAGGAAATTGCATGCTACAGTTTTGGTAGTTCTCCTCGCATTTGTGCAACAAAAGTTTTCCAATACAGAATGTAAATGTAGAAAATAGTTTGAACTCGCAATTTCATTAAGCACCTTCATTCGTTGTTTATAATATCAAAAGTAAATAACGCATCCTCAATTTTCATGTTTTTTGTTGGATTGTCTCTTTCTGTTACCTGAATTTAGACCTTTGTTGCATATAGAGAGAGCCACATTACTATCAAAGTGTTTAACCCTTGCAATTGCAATCCCTATACACTCTCAGTTCATCGAAATTATTTCAGAAACCTACTTTGGTATATGAAGAGCATTATGGGTTTGAAGCTCTACTAATGAGGATATTGGTATGTACGAAATTCGGGAATTTTTACTAAAGCGGATAGTAGTAGCACACATATTCTGTATTCATCACACACATTTTTAAGCACAAGTACCAACAATACGTTATTTTAATGTGTTCCCTATCCCTATATGGCCTCGAAATATCCTATTATTGCATAATCTCGATAATTCTTTTTGTTGTTCAGAATGAGAGAGGAATCTTAGAGCAAAAGACGGCCGATTAAAATGTTTTAATGTTGTCACGAGGTACTATTTTTCTTTTCAGTTAGTTGAATAAATGAGCTTTGGGGTGCTATGGATATTTAAAAAACTTCATAACTTTCTGCTAGAGAGAGAAAGAAACAAGCACTACAGCGAAACTTGATCGAATAAGAAAGAAACTCGATGCAAAGCATGCACTAGAGCTTGAGATACGATCGAATGGACTTTACGCATTTGTCAGTGGGAAGCTTGTAGGTATTCTCGAAACTAAATTTTTTTGCGAATTAGTTAATTAGTTGAACTTGAATTTTTTTTTTCTTCTGAATTATTGTTTCGTAATGATATAAATCTGTTGCCGAAATCCAGAACAACGGAGCATTATTTGATAAAAGACCAGCAGGAATTGAAAATCCGGTGCAGTTCAATGGGTTAAGCAATGGCCTCATCAATCATTGAACTCTCCAAAGAACCACGGAATTGTCAGGTCATTCATTATAATACTACTGTTCTGTTGCATTCAAGTTTTTTATGTTCTTTCACCCTATATTTTGTTTTTATTTTTTATTGTTTCTGATTATGGGATATAACCAAGCAGATCGTACACTGTACAAGCTAAATAACATTATTTGCAGTAAGTGCGACTTCCGAAGGCCGAGAATTACACGGATCCCAATAAATTCGACAATCTCGAAAAGGAAAGTGAAGATCGCCTCAAAGAAGATTTAACGGTTAACGAGAGCATTAACAAGAATTTGTAGCTAAACTTTTGGTGGAAGAGATTGAACTAGGGGCGGACGCATGTGTAGTCTTGGGGTGATCCCACCCCTGAAAATAAAAAAAAAATTGTTGCAATTTTGAGTGAATTTATAGACTGTGCCCTCCAAGATTGAAATTTTGTACATTTTAACCCATGATTTTTTTTTTTTTTTTTTTTTTTCTCTTAATTCACACCCATATTTAAGCCTCCGCCAAACCCCCCAAGGTCCGCCCCTGGATTGAACAAACAGACAAGACTGATAAGACGAGCACTAACCAAGTTGATGATAATCAATCGAACTGGAGCCAATTATGGGTTTATTATATTCCGTCCGGGGGTGGATTTCCCTTGGAAGATGAAGATAATAAAGTTGTTGATGGTGCTGATTGCAAGAAAATGATGGGAGTAATGGGCCAACCAATGAGAAGACATATATTTGTCGAACTGAGATGAACATCGACGGTCGTGATTCGTTCGAGGATCAACGTCCGAGATCTCTTCGTGCAATGCCTAAAATGACAAGGAAAATGAGAGAGCTTTGAATGATAATACTTTCAAATCAATCTACTTTGTTAAGTAATTACTGAAAATACACGTTTCCTTCTAGGAAGAGCAAAGAGTGCACGTTTCCACCACACCAAGGGTGAAAAATGCACTAACTTCACATTAATCCTTAATTATTAAACCATATTAATTGTAAATAGTTTGTTAAACAAAATTTCATATATACTTTTGGCTTCACTATTCAGATAAACTATTGATATGGGCTAATTTTATTTATATATATATATATATATATATATATATATATATATTATATATATATATATTATTATTCTGTTTTTTCTTTTTTTTTTTAATTTCGAACCACAATAATTATAGGGTTTATTAGGGATAACCCCCTTGTTCATATTTTCTAATGAGGTAGATCCAATTTTTTTTCCACTTTTTGAGATAGACCCAATTTTGCCAACTTGGCAAAATATATTATATAATTTTCCTTTAATACCCTTGTTTATTTTTAAACGGTATTTAATTCCTTTAATACGTGATTTGAGATTTGCTGATACGTAGCCTAAAATCACGGAATAATATTACGTGAGATCATTGGCCGTTATACCAATTCGTGTATAATATTTTCGGAGGTTCTCTTTCACCGTTCCAGGGGATTTTTATCTTTGAAGATTTCTGTACCGTCGTGGAAATAGGATCGAATTGAGCGCTCATCTGTTGGACGTTGTTTAATCGGGTATGAATGCGTTTTTCGATTTATTTTTCGTTCAATGGCTAGGATCGTCGTGTATGGTGGTTAGAAATTTTAAGAGGTGTGTTGATACTTGATTATATTATGTAGAACGTTTTTTAACAAAATTATTCCGTCATATATACATCGTTAATTTTGGCGGATGATGTTTGTTCGGAATAGGATTGACAGAGTTAGATAAGGATTGTTCACGCATATTGGACCAGAGTTATTTTATATGAACGTCGTAGTTGGTTTACGTAGTAATTGAAATAACTGTCCGCGGTCGTGGAGTTCATGTGTCTGATCCCGGTCGATAGTTGATTTATTTGTTTATAACAGCGGATTTTAGGACTCTGGGTAGTACATTAAAATATACTTTGTAGTCTTTTTTAAGTTATCGTATGAATTTTGCATTTTAAGTTTATTTTTGATCATATTAATATATTTTTTAATATTTTGTATTTTTAATGTCGTATTATGATTCAAGGTTTTATCGATGGCGAATTTTGTACGGATTTTGTTGAGATTTGGTGGGTTGGTTGCTATAAAGAGGTGTTCGAACGGGTTTACTCGCGGTTCATTGGTTGCATTTGTTATTTCAAAGTGGCCACAACTCGATGGGTGGGATATAAGCATGACATATAGGCTGGAAGGCGTTGGTGAATGTATCTTGGCTGACGATGAGGACATGATTTCGATGTTTGGTGGGTTGGTTGCTATAAAGAGGTGTTTACGATGTAATGGCTCGGTAACGTCGGTTAAGTGCTAAACCGTTATAATACAGTAGTATACTATTATGAATACCATATGATACTACCATTATCATTTTATTATACTATTATGAGATTATTAATGTACTAGAGTTTTTTAACTCTACATATTGGTTTGATTGTGTTATGATGTGTTTTAAGTATTTTATCAAAACCCTAGATTGAAATTATGAGATTATTAATGTACTATTTTATTGGTTATGTTGGAATACTTTACGTTGGTCTTGTTCTCAATGTTCTTGTCATTTCAGTGGTGTATTGTTTGTAACACAATTTCATATCACTACTATAACCGTAATATACTATCATAGCAGATTAATGTACTATATTGAAATTATTAATATACTATGTGGTTGAATAATACGGGATCCATAGTCGATTAACGAGATCCATAGTCGAATTAGATCAATGATATAGTCTATTACATGATATAAGGAAAATTACCCTAATTGATTAGTATTTCAAAAAAACATATTATTCAGTTTCCATTTATATTATTATTTTTTCATATATATTATTATTAACCCTAATCGTTTTCATATAATAAGGAAAATTACCCAAATTGATTAGTATTTCAAACAAACATATTATTCAGTTTCCATATATATTATTATTTTTCCAATAGTCAATTAATTAAACCCATAGTCGAATTAGATACATGGGATAGTCTATTAAAAGATATGAGATAGTCTATTAATTTAAAAAAGGTAAAGTAACGGGATTTGTGGGATTTGATTGAGGGTAATTATGTAATTACGAAAAGCTTGGGCTTTTATCAAAATGGCAAATTTAAATTTGGGTCTACCCCTATTATTTGAATGTTTAAGGGGGTTATATCTAATAGACCCATAATTATATTTGTAAAAACCAATAATGAATATCATGGAGGTATGACTAGGCACGCACTAACACACCAGACTTTTTAGCTTAGGCAATCTTCACCGGCCTCTACACGTCACCTCACACTAGGAGTGGTATCAATTTATATTTATTACACAAACTTTTTCTCTTTTATTACACTAATTCACCTCAAAATTAAACCAATTATATTACTTTCTTACAATTAAACTTTGACGATATTTTATATATATATAGAAATATAAAATATCGTCAAATAAAATAAAATATTATATATATAGTATATACATAACATATGTGTGTGTGTGTGTGTGTGGTGGAAATAATTATGTGAAAATGAAAGAACAATGAAGTTACGTGGATAAGTTAACTTGAAAAAATGAAAAAAAGAATTAAAAAAAAAAAAAGATTTTGTTTTATTTTATTTGGAATAGCTTTGTGGGGTCCACTTCTATCTCCCCAAATATCTTTCTATAAATGAATATTGGTGCGTGTGGCAGCAGCACGAGAGAGGCACATGCACGCACTAACAGAAAGTCAAAAACAAAAAAGAAAAAAAAGGAGAAGCTAAGTAAGTAGCAGAGGAAACCAAAAAAAACATGGCAGGAGGCGGAGGAGCGGCGGACCACCGGCGGAGATACTGCCACAGGGAGGTTCTGCCGTTCTCAGTCATGGTAGTGATGGAGTGCACAAACGTCGGACTCAACACTCTCTTCAAAGTCGCCACCAACAGCGGCATGAGCCGCCACGTGTTCCTCGTCTACGCCTACGGCGTCGCCGCCCTTGTCCTCCTCCCCTCCCCTTTCTTCTCCCGCCGGTTAACTACATACTCTTAACTCAACTAATCATGTAATTAGCTGCTTAATTAATTAATTGGTAATGAAATTTATTTGTGTGTTTTGGCAGATCAAGGGTGCTGCCTCCGTTGACTTTCTCTGTACTGTGGAAGATCTTTATACTTGGAGTCGTTGGGTGAGTGATTTATGATTATTCAGTCAATTCTTTGTTTGATCGGAGGTTTGACTTTTTTTTATCAAATAAAAATCATTTCTTGAAAACAAGAATTTAATTTAACATAATTTTATTAATTTTTTTAATATAGATATACATCACAGATAATGGGGTACACCGGAATCAATTACGGTTCTCCGACGCTTGCTTCCGCCATGAGCAACCTTGCTCCGGCGTTCACTTTTGTGCTTGCCGTCATTTTCAGGTACAGTCCTTTTCACTTTACCCTTTTTTCTTTTTTTTCTTTTTTTTTTATTTTTAAATTATTTAGTTGCTATCCTGCTTTTATTCCCCCTCACCGGGTCCCACAGATTGGACTTGAGCTTCTTTTTTATTTGGCTTCAATAATGTTAATGCATTCTCATATTGAATCAATTAACTTTAGTGTGAATTGGGTCTGCAAGGGTAGAATTGTCATTTTTCGGAAAATTACTCCATGGAATCAAAAAGATTCGGTGAAAATCACACGGTAAGAGGGTCGGTGACAATAACAAATTTTGGGGGGATTTTGGTAATTACTGACATTTGGGGGAGTTTTTCGTTATTTTGCTTAAGTTCAAGGGGGTTTTCGTAATTTACCCTTAATGGAAAATTATGTTCTTTTAGTAGTCCTTATTTGAACTAGGCTATAATAAAATTGCAAATGTAATAAATTAATCCCATTTTGAGGCCTAAAGAGAGTACTTTTCTTGAATTTGGTTGGTAATATATACATACATGTATGCATATATAGGATGGAAAAGGTAGCACTATCAAGTACAAGCAGCCGAGCTAAAATCATCGGCACCATTGTCTCAATATCGGGAGCTTTCGTAGTAACATTTTACAAAGGCCCAAGCGTGACCGCCCCTCCAATTTCGTTGCATCAATCACTTCAATATTCACCATCTCAATCAAATTGGATGATTGGCAGTTTATTCCTCTCCGTCGAATATTTTTTGGTCCCCGTTTGGTACATTATTCAGGTGACCGATAACAAAAATTTTCATATCAACTCTCCTATTTCCCAAGATTTGAGTTTCTTAAAACCAATTATTACTTGTTTTCTTCTAATTTTAATTAATTATGCAGACACATATTATGAAGGAATACCCTGCAGAATTGACTGTGATCTTCTTCTACACCTCTTGTGTGAGCTTCTTAGCTGCTATCGTCAGCTTTTTCGCGGAACCGGACTCGACTAAATGGATAATCAAACCTAGTATTGCTTTGGCTTCTGTCTTATGCTCGGTAAATTTTAAAACCTCGTTTTTTTTTAAAACATCTTTAAGACCAATCTTTTATTTATTACATTTATTTTATGATCTAACGCACACACACACACACACACACATAAATATATATATGTAGGGAGTTTTTGGGTGTTGCATTAACAACGCTATTCACGCGTGGGCATTGCATTTGAGAGGGCCTGTCTACGTAGCTATGTTCAAGCCTTTGTCTATAGCCATTGCAGCTGCCATGGGAGTTATTATTCTCGGCGACACTCTTTATCTTGGAAGGTAATTAATCAATTTTTAAATCCAAAAATAAATAAATAATTAATTAATTTGTACTAATGAATATTTATTGTGGGAAAATCAGCATAATCGGAGCATCGATAATAGCAATTGGATTCTACACTGTATTGTGGGGAAAAGCGAAAGAGGATTTTGGTGAAGTTGATGTTGATGATAGAGATATGGAGTCAGCTGCACAAAAGTATCCCTTATTACAAAGTTACAAAACCCAAGTTAGGTGATTATATATATGTACAATTAAACAACAACTATGTGTAGATGTTAATATGTATCTAATTATTATTATATATGTATAATTTGCTCTTGTTTGAGGATTATGAGATCCTAAATTTTCCCATGAACATGGAATAGTTGAGTTTGGGGCTTGTGGATTTGGGCTAGTTTGAACTGATTGAATAGGATATTAATTGGGCTTGCCAATTGTGTACGTTAAAAGAAATTATCTATAAAGATTTTCAAAAGTTTTTATTTATTTTTTGAGAAAAGAGAAGATTTTTATTCAAATTTTTTAATCATTTTCTACAATAGTTTGAATTGACACATCACACATAAATGGATCTATGAATGATAATCTAGCTAGTTCATGTGCAGCCTTATTGTCCTTTCTTGTAACGTGGCATGTAGAGAAGATATGAATATATTTATTGGGTAAATTACGGCTCCCCATTAAGATAAGTTCAAATTACGAAAAAACCTTCTTGTTTGTTTAATTATAAACCATTCATCAATTATGAATCTTCTTACACGTTTGTTCTCTTAGTGTCAAATTTAACAGAATTTTCTAGGTTCCCTCCCATGTTCTCCAGTTTGTACTCATTTTGTGCAAAAATGCAGTTTTTGAGGTACCATGATCTGATATTTACTAGTCAATAAACACATTTTATCATCATCTTATTTCAAAATGGGAACTCGAATGGTATAAAACGGGTACAAACTGAAGAATATTCCACATAATCTACAAGATTCTACTAAATTTGACATCACAATGGTGGACATGTAAGAAGATTCATGGACCATTCCTCTTGATGGTTGCAAATCGTTGTAAGAACCTGACTAAAATTTCCATCAATAACCACTTCGTTCCATGACTATTCTCGTGTGTACTTTGCTACTAATAGAGCTGTTTTGGCTTCAACTGAGGTGGTGTCCAAACTCCAGAGATTACCTTATACAAGTCGAAGACCATCCAACAGACACCAAAATATGTCATAGCAATGATTCCAATACCAATACATCCCCATCTTTTGTATTCATAGCTGCATTGAAATTAATTATAACGACATTCGAGCTCGACGATTGCCACCTTGAATCCGACTCACCCCTTAAAACTCATGTGTGCACAACACTAGCAATAAGATCGCGTGGCTGAGCTTCAAATTTTTGCACAAAAGATACAATCTTTTTCAACGTCCAATCATTTGATCAAGCAAACCAATAATTGAAACTCAACTAATTCTCAAATAATAGAAAAAATATTTGAAATTGAACTGCATTTAATAAGCTTCAAATAAATACAATTTTTTATTGATTTAAAAAAAAAAAGAAAAAAAAAAGAAAAAAAAAAGAAAAAAAAAAAAGAAAGAAAGTTGATCGAGCAAAGCTCCATCCTTTTCGGGTCCACACATAATATTTACAGTCCAACCAAAAACCCTTGCCACTTGAGACTAGTCAGTTTAATCATTGTTCAACTCTTTGTTCCCTTAGTCCCTGTCGGATTTCAGACTTTTCACATTAGACCCCCAAAAAAGAAAATTATATACCTTGAGTCCTTCTATCTACTTCCTTATCTCCCCTTCAAAATTTCACTCTTTTCTTTTCCTTTCGAAGTAATTACTCTTTTGCCGACGCAGTTTCTTGGATTTGCTGCCCTTTTTTCAGGCTGTTCTGCTTCAATCGTCTTTAATTTCAATTGGGTATGTTCCAATTTCAATTTTCAATCCTTTCTGATTATCAGCTCCTTTTGTTTTCGGATTCAATTTCTACTTTATGGGCTCAATTCATGTTTCTGAAGATTGTTTATCTTTGACGTTTTGCGATATTTTCCCCTAATTTATTTATGTTCGTTGTTAAAAGTTTTTATCTTTAGATCTCAAATTCTTGCTTTCGCCTCTGTCATTTATGCTTCTTTAGATTTCGTGGCTCTTGTTGTAAATTTCTTGATTCACTGCTTCATTAAAAAAAAAAAATTGATTTTGGAATTGTAATTTAGATAAAAAAATGTCGCAAGGCTACGCAATCGAACTCTACTTCGATCCCGCGCTCGAAAACCAGGTCTTGAAAGCATGGAACGTTTTAGCCCGAAGACAAATCAGTACTCAGCTAATCGAGATCGAATCTAGGCCCCACATTACATTGTACTCGAGCCCTTTTACCGATGTCGCTAGAGTAGAGAATGTACTAAGAAACTTCGCTGCAAAGCAAGAACCCTTGGCCGTCTCCTTCTCTTCGATCGGAAGCTTCCCGAGTGACAACAATGTCCTGTTCCTCGGTCCGACGCCTTCGTTGTCGCTCCTTCAGTTTCATTCGCAATTGTGCGATGCGATGAAGAGAGAAGGTGTAGAAGTTGGGGACGATTTCTGTCCGGATAAATGGATTCCTTATTGCTCCGTGGCTGAGGAAGTTCCAAAGACTCGTTTTTTCGAAGCGTTCACCGTTTTGCGTGATTTGAAGATGCCCGTTAGTGGATACGCGATGGATATTTCGCTGGTTGAGTATTCGCCCGTTCGCGAGATCTTTTCGTTTACTCTGGGTACGCATCATGTTAGTGACTTTTGATGATGATGATGTCGTTTGTGTTAATTGCTGATTTAGATGATGTTCTATTTGGTTTGCGTTTTTACGTTTTACGTGGTTGTAATAAGTGGTTATTATAACTTATGTAGGTTGTAAGGATGGTACTTATAATTGATTTAGTTTTCAGTTATATAAACTTCCTCTTGTTGTACCAAATTGTGTCTTTAGTCGATAATGTGTCGTGAAGTGACTGTTTTCGTGGGCTTCAAATTTGTATTATATGGATCAGGTGTCGGTTTTTTTTTTTTTTTTTTTTTTATGTTGTCTTGTCTCTATAACATTCGTTCGTATATATAATTATCACTTTAGTCAGATGTTAATTCTTGTTTGTCTGAAACTGCTTTATGTTTCTTTAAGCCTCGTTCTTAACCGTTATCTTCAACGCTGAGCAGAGAACGGTGTCTGTTTTATCGCACTCTCGTAATGTGTGGATTTTTGTGCATTAATCAAAAATTGGGGCAAAAAAAAAAATGAATCTTGAAACTTGACTTAGCATCTGTGTGTTTTCTTCTTACAAAACTTTTTGTCAGACATGCAAACTCATAATCCTGTCTCTGTTTCTGATGATAACTCGATCTGTGACTGTCTCTTAATCATCTCGAGTAGAATCTCGTTCCACACATCGATGGGGCCCGGTAAACACCAATGTATGCAATCACTATAACCCTTCATCCATTGATTCCCCCAGTTCACACCAGGGTGCCCGTCGGGCCTCATAAGCATCATCTCAGTCACATCAAGAACTTCAAACTTATTCCCATTTCGCCCCCCTTCATTCCTCGCAGTCTTGATTTCCTCCACTTGAATTCTCCTATATTCCAAATCTGGCCCTCCTCGATCGACCTCTTCCCTCCCAATCGGCCTCGTCCTATTGCAACTCCCTCCATTGTCCCAAGTCCCGTTCTCGAACTGCGAAGGCGAGTAGGTTCTCAGTACAGTGGTGATCTTCCTGCAGTTCGCGCAGTTATGATG